AGTTTGGTACTGGGAAGGAATAATGGATATGTGCCTTTGCTTTGGTCACCAGCCTCTGCACCCCCCTTTCCATATTCAGAGAGCTCTCAAGCTCATGACACAGAGGCTGCCTCTCCCCCTAGCAGAGGACAGGGCCAGCTATTTGCTTTACCAGCCTCTCTTTGCTGCTAGAGAACGTGATCAGACTCTGCCAATCAGATGCCTCTATCCCAGATTTGAATCACAAGTTTTCCTTCCTCTTTTCTTTTCTTGCAGTGCCAGTTTGTGGCGGTAGGAATTCTTGAGGCTTTGGCCCATGGTTCAGTACATTGAGTACTGAATGGGCAGGTGTTGTATGGAACCCATTTGCTGCAGCTGGTGGGGTTTCTTACAAAGCCTATTGCAGGAGTTTATTTCATCTGGTCCAACTTAGGAGATGAGAGTTGTTGCCACCCCTGCTGCCACTGCCAATGCTGGAACCTTTTAAAACATCACAGAGCTGCCCTACTAGAGGCTTTACCTGACAGAANAGTTTGGTACTGGGAAGGAATAATGGATATGTGCCTTTGCTTTGGTCACCAGCCTCTGCACACCCCTTTCCATATTCAGAGAGCTCCCCAGCTCATGACACAGAGGCTGCCTCTCCCCCTAGCAGAGGACAGGGCCAGCTATTTGCTTTACCAGCCTCTCTTTGCTGCTAGAGAACGTGACCAGACTCTGCCAATCAGATGCCTCTATCCCAGATTTGAATCACAAGTTTTCCTTCCTCTTTTCTTTTCTTGCAGTGCCAGTTTGTGGCGGTAGGAATTCTTGAGACTTTGGCCCATGGCTCAGTACATTGAGTACTGAATGGGCAGGTGTTGTGTGGAACCCATTTGCTGCAGCTGGTGGGGTTTCTTACAAAGCCTAATACAGGAGTTTATTTCATCTGGTCCAACTTAGGAGATGAGAGTTGTTGCCACCCCTGCTGACACTGGCAATGCTGGAACCTTTTAAAACATCACAGAGCTGCCCTACTAGAGGCTTTACCTGACAGAACATAGGGAGGGCATTTTCCTGAGCAGCATACTAATTAACAAAGAGCCTGGCTTCATTACAGGCCATCGGTCCTGCCTGTTCTACAAGCATACTGTCTGGTTTGTATAAAGCACTACGTTCTGTGATTAGCTCAGAATGATCTCTTTATGCACTTTTTTTATAGAGCAGATAGTGAGGTGTCCCTGGAAGTGAAGTGATACAAGCTCTTTAGATAACTGAAAGTGCCAATTACATTCACCAAATATTTATCGAACATCTCCCATATGTCAGGAACTATGTTAGAACTATGCTAGACACAGAGTTGGCCAGACAAACACCATTCATACTTCAAATGTCAAATAAATAGTTACAAATACAATGACTGTTGTGAAGAGGAAGGGCTATGGGACCATATAATAACAAGGTTCAACCTAGTCTAGGGATCAGCCAGGGCGTCCTGTCTAGCACTCCTAAGCTGTGTA